AGCTGGAACTGTTCGTGTGGGAGCGTCGTTTGGTCGATCGTCTCCGGTATGGAGTTCGACGGCCTGTGGTATGCTGAGTGTCCTGCTTGGCCCTGACACGTTTGTTTGTTTATATTACATTTATGTTTGTTGTTCTTGCGTTAAAATAAATGTTTTTGTTAAGAATTGACGTGTCTGGTCTCCCTTCTTGTTGCAGCCTAAGAGCCGGCAGTAACAATGGAAACAGCCAAAAGTTATAATAGATAAATTACTGTAAATGTGTAATGTTTGTTACATGATTCCAAATTATTTCCATTATTTCACGATTTCTAGTATTTGTCCAGGCTGTACATTTTCAATACAATATTGTAATTAGCAATTCATATAATTTTACCTGTGAAGCAGATTTCTTACGTGACAGCATTAATTAAAGTTTCTTCAGTCAAGAATATTTCTCTAATGGCACAGCAGACAGCATTTTTTATTTGAATCTCCTGCACTGCATCAAGCCACTCCCATACTAATGTCACTATTTAAATTAATGCATGGCATAGACTAACTGTGCATCAAGTGTGTAAGACTCCAATACATTTATTAGGCAATTATTCCCTCACAAATAAATCTCTCAATGAGTAAAACTGGCTGTGTTTATATTATGATAGACTACTCAACATTATAACATTATATTTTCAAATTAATTTTTAAATTATTATTATTTAAAATTATTATTGTTCCTGTTTCAATAGCGTACTTTTGTAAGGAAGTAGCAGTGGCTGGGACAGACTTTAAGTATGACCTTCGCTTAAAGCTCCTGTAGGTAACTTTTGAAAACATGTATTTGCTAAAACTGTCATTATGTCCTGACAGTAGAATATGAGACAGATAATCTGTGTAAAAATCAAGCTCCTCTGGCTCCTCCCAGTGGTCCTATTGCCATTTGCAAGAAATACACGCTCCCGGTCAGAAACAACCAATCAGAGCCAGGAGGAATGTCTTAGCACTGTCAATCACGCTCGTGTACGCGCTGATCACACCCCTCTCTTGCACAGCGCGTTGCGCGAGCCGTCGTTCAAACTCAAGATTGCCGGCGTGCTGCAGCTGTGCTTATGACGGAGAAACAACCTAAACTGCCAATTCTCGAGTGACACCTGCTCATAAAACAAAGAGGTAAAAGGAAAAAGACTGATGACGATAACCAAGCGAAAAAGAAAGAATTACACAGAGCCCATTGACTCGGTGTCAAAACTCTAGCCGCATAACATGTAGATAAAATGTCACGCACTCTGCTAAGCAACAATTGAAACCTGCTAATTCACTGGCTTGTCATGTTGCTGAAATAATGTACTAGCACACCTTATCTAGCATTATATATCGCTAGAATAATTACTTACATACCGTAACGTTAGTTACCGTTATATTAACGTTATCTTACTAGCTATTTATAACTTATAGAAAGAGTGCAACGTTATAAAGTTACATGTTGGCTATTGGAAAATACATAATGATTTGAGGACCAAGTTTGTAGTCAAAGTATGGGCAGGCCATAGTCAATGTAAAGCATATTATTGAAGTTTAGTCCCTATTAGTGAATGTGCCATATAACTTTTTATCCGCCGTTATGGGTGGCCCTGTTTACTAGCCTGCGCGTTCACGACAGGCTCCGCTGTGGAGGACGAGCTGTGGAGGGAGGGCTGTAGCGCAGCAGAGAGCAAGGGGGTGGGACCTGTAAGTTGTGCTTGTTCAAATTTTCAGGCTAAGTCAACGTTTTCTCAAAACTCCCAACTGCAGCTTTAAAAAGATGTAATCTAATCCTGTTTACATGAAATAAGCCTGCTCCCGAGCAGGTTTGAGCTTACGGACCTGTTGCTATGACAGCAACTCCGGGATGACCTTCGAAGAACCTAACAATCCTGAATCATGTCAAATTGTCAACAGTAAAATCAAGATAACAGAGTAATCCACGTGCGAATAACAGGCCCCTGGACTTTAACTTTATTGGTTTTGAGGGAGGGAGGGAGGGAGAGAGAGAGGGAAAGAAAGAAAGAAAGAAAGAAAGAAAGAAAGAAAGAAAGAAAGAAAGAAAGAAAGAAAGAAAGAAAGAAAGAAAGAAAGAAAGAAAGAAAGAAAGAAAGAAAGAAAGAAAGAAAGAAAGAAAGAAAGAAAGAAAGAAAGAGAAAGAAAGAAAGAAAGAAAGAAAGAAAGAAAGAAAGAAAGAAAGAAAGAAAGAAAGAAAGAAAGAAAGAAAGAAAGAAAGAAAGAAAAGAAAGAAAGAAAGAAAGAAAGAAAGAAAGAAAGAAAGAAAGAAAGAAAGAAAGAAAGAAAGAAAGAAAGAAAGAAAGAAAGAAAGAAAGAAAGAAAGAAAGAAAGAAAGAAAGAAAGAATGAATGAATGAATGAATGAATGAATGAATGAATGAATGAATGAAAGAAAGAAAGAAAGAAAGAAAGAAAGAAAGAAAGAAAGAAAGAAAGAATGAATGAATGAATGAATGAAAGAAAGAAAGAAAGAAAGAAAGAAAGAAAGAAAGAAAGAAAGAAAGAAAGAAAGAAAGAAAGAAAGAATGAATGAATGAATGAATGAATGAATGAATGAAAGAAAGAAAGAAAGAAAGAAAGAAAGAAAGAAAGAAAGAAAGAAAGAAAGAAAGAAAGAAAGAAAGAAAGAAAGAAAGAAAGAAAGAAAGAAAGAATGAATGAATGAATGAATGAATGAAAGAAAGAAAGAAAGAAAGAATGAATGAATGAAAGAAAGAAAGAAAGAAAGAAAGAAAGAAAGAAAGAAAGAATGAATGAATGAATGAATGAAAGAAAGAAAGAAAGAAAGAAAGAAAGAAAGAAAGAATGAATGAATGAATGAATGAAGAAAGAAAGAAAGAAAGAAAGAAAGAAAAGAAAGAAAGAAAGAAAGAAAGAAAGAAAGAAAGAAAGAATGAATGAATTTATTTCTTTTCTTTTTCCTCTTCAGAACATGATCATTAGTAACAGAACATATTTTAACAACAAATAATAAGAACAATCTCAGCATGTTCAAAAGAAAAGAAAAAATATAGAAAAAAAAAGGAGAAGGAAGAAGCTAACTTATATTTGCCTTCCCCTTTTATACATCTAGCTTTGAAACGGCTACTGTTTTCTCTTTACAAAGTATCATAATCTATCCCCCGGGCAAGCCCCCCCCCCCCCCGGAAGAGAATTTTGTACATTTTAAAGATAACTTCATTAATCTGGTGCACTTTGAGTCACCCAAATCCACTATTAAAAATAAATAATCCACCCGCAAACCGCCTATATTTAGATATATGCATCTGATCATCACATTACAATTATTCAAATTCTTAGTGTTAAGCATGATAATATGATAACATATCACACTGAAGTAGGCTGATTTAAAATGAACATTTATTTAAAATAAAAGTTGTTCTTTTGGCAAAATTACATTTCCTTAATAGCCTAAACAGAGGATTTACTCCCTTCAAGCTTAAATTGTCAATGTTTCATTACATCACTGTTTGAAAACACTCAGAATAATTTTTTGTACCTTTATAAAGGGCATTCTCCCCTAATTTTATTAAATGTATGGTCCATCTTTCATTTCAAATTCTTAAATTTGATAAATATATTCAATTAAAATAATTAGACACTAGGCTGTTATGTTACCAATAAAATTAAATAATAATTTACATTGAAAAATTATAACTGTATTAAATTAGATTATTTAAAATATTTTTGAATATACAAATAAGGAATGTTGAAAAGAATGATACTTTATGAAACTAGCGTTTTGTCATTCAACGTTGTCACTTGCTTGAGAAGTTGAAGTCGTTCTCTATCTCCGTTGCTTCTAGCCACGGTGGTTAAAAATGGTACGGTCCACAATAGGGGTGTCTGAAATCGCTTTACATTAAAATGTTCCTACAGTGAAAATAGGAGTTGACTTGTATTGTAACTGTAATTATATTTTTTCACAATATCAGAAAAATTATCTGCCCCCCCCAAAACTGATATTTCTGTCCCTTTGGGGGTACCCACCAGTACCCCCTGTAATTCAAACTATGAGTGTATGACAAGTTTTGGTAATAAAATTTAATTCTGATGACTGACACCGTGGTAACTATATCAACATCCTGGCATCTCGCGTTTTTTGGTATTCACTATTTTTGGCCAAAGTAATATTGCAGCAACCAAAGGCTCACAATGTTTGACAATTTTAACCAAACCACCGTCGACAGAAGCGTCATGTTTTATTTATGCTTGGAAGGCTATAAGCGTTTTTGGTATTGTTGTACGGGCTTGGCTCATAAACTGACCCAGTTAATAAAAGGGCCAATTGTGGGTCGTGATATTGTGGTCTTATTTTCAATATAAAACATTTAGATCTATTTAGGTTTATTATGGCCTTGGTCTTGTTTACTGTTTTTTTCTAGCAGGATCTGGCAACATGAATGAGTCAAGGCTCGTACTTCCTTCCCTATGATTTTCTTGAACCACGCATACAGAAGTGAGACACATATCTAATGCGAGTTTATTATGTCATTAACAAAGTTGTTGTATACTACAAATACTACATGCCACTACATAACCAGCAACTGGGGGCCAGAAAAAAGCAGAAAAGCATAAGAAGATTGATGAACGTCTTTGGTCAACCTTAACCTCTAATTATGGAAAAAAAGCTCAGTTTTCACTTCCTCTGTAAAGAACTGAATATTTCACAACCACAGACTGCTTTAGGCTTTAATCCATTACTAAAAGATGTTAAATGTTAGCAAACAATTATTGATGGCTTACATGCAATGAAATTACACTCTATTAAAATGACATTATCAGTGATTGCACAATGAAAAGTACAAAATTCATCTCTATAGAAGTTTACCCATCTATAATGACTTTCTGAGAACCCCAGAAATGTGAAAAGGGTCGACTGAAATATTGAGGGTAGAGGGGGATAAAACTGTATTTCACACAACAGCAAACCTGCAAGTTAGTGTGTGACCACCAGAGCATAACATTAAAAAACATCACACTTACTATGTCGGACGGAACCCCTCTTTGCCTTTTTATTTCCGGAACAGTAAGAGGAACAGTAACTCACTTACTCATCTTCAGAGCAGTCTTTCTGCAAAACATACAAAAGTAGTTATGACCATATCAGTCCCCTCTTTCACAAGAAATGCTGAAGAGTTCCAACTGAAAATATAGCTGCAAGCAGCCATTACGGGGCCAAGCGCAAAAGCAGACGACAAGACATGCCAACATGGCTGGGAGTTTTAGACCAACTGCAGCAAGGAGCAATTAAAGACATGTAAAGATGAATTTAGGCAAAATGGCTTATAAATTATATATACAGTAAGTTATAAAATGATTTAATGGTTTATCACTTTCGACCAATAGGTGGCGCAGTTAAGAAATCGATGCATTGTGATCAGAGTGAGGTGACAATGACACATACAAAGTTTGGTGTCAAAATGTGAAGGCATTGCAGAGATAAAGCCTAAATAGTCATTTTGGCAGCATGCCTCAACTTTGATGCTGTGGTATACGAAAACGGTTTCGTCTATCGTCACGAAATCCATAACTTTTAGTCGGCACGGTCTGGAGATGACACGATTCGATTTTGGTGAAAATCGGACCAACGGTCTAGAAGTTAGAAAAATAAGGTTTTTAAAAAAAATAAAGATGGCGGACAGGAAGTTTGGCTGATTATGGCAAACCTGGTATATATGTTTTCGGCATAACCCAAGGAATCTATTAAGACCAGTGTCATTACAATAGGCAAATTTATTTAAAAGTTATTAGCATTTTCAGAAATTAATTATAACTTTTGACCAAAAGGTGGCGCTGTCTCAAAATCTTTTGAGAACCTTCAGGTCATGCTGCTTATGGCACACACTGAGTTTCGTAATGTTACACCAATGCATTTGTTAAGTATAGCATTTTAATCACAAAACTGTATTGAATTCAATGGCAATTTCACGTTTTGTTCTATTATAGCGCCACCAAGAGGCTCAGTCCCACCATTTTTTTTATGTGTCCTCAGAGTGAGCCCACACTAGCCTAGAAATCTAGATGCACCCTAGCGGCAGCAAAAATTATTTTGCAGCAAAGTGTGGTCTAGCAACTCTCCGTTGGCTTTTCGAGCTGGTAAAACCAAACTCTGGTCAGGCCAATCACATCATGTATAGAGTTGGTGGTTGGGCTTAACAATGACGGCAGAGATGTGACAGTTCCGCGTGATTTCCATAGGTGATTTCCCTGCTAACGTTACTTGAAAACAAAGAAGATGCTGCTGGCGAACAGCGGTCTTTCGAATCGGATTTGGCCGCGACTCTGGAGGACTTGGAGTTAAGAGAACGTAACTTAAGTCATTCTTAAAAAAGGAAGATGTGTTCGGAGTTTTGACGATCGGCAAAAGTTTAATATATCAACTAGCTCCGCTGGTGGAAAAACGCATGGGACTCACACACAGCGCACAGTTCGTTGCTCTGGTTGGTTGTAGCGCTGTCCTATTGCGTGACGAGGGATATTGAAAGACAACCGTTTAACCCGCCCCACGGATTGAGGTATGCCAATTGTGAGTTCCCAGACCTAACATCTTGATGTAGGTCTGGCTTGCCAGGCTAAGCCCACACATCTGTGTGTCAATTTTGGTGAAAATATCTCAATTCGCTTCAGAGATATAGACATTTATGTGAAAAAACACGTCAAAAATGACTCACACATGACTTTGAATTTTACTACCCCGTACTATCAATATTTTGACATTTGGGCATTGGTGTATGGCCAGCGACCTATGTTTCCGATTTTCTGACGGTGGTTTCGTCTCGATCGGACTAGCGGTTTCGAAGATATCTGCAAATGTTTTTTAAGCGCTAAATTACAACGCTGCACAAACCATATGCCGAAACCTGGCAAGTCTGGTATCGTTGGACTCAACAAGGATTCAGGAGTCTAATGATATGACTCCCGTGAAAATAAGTCAACCACAGCCAGAGTTATAAGCATTTGAAAATTTAATTTTACCACTAGGTGGCGCTGTTTCGAATCTTCTCAGGCTCCTTCAGGGCATCGTACTGATGACCCATACCAAGTTTCGTAACAATTTGTTCATGTGTTCAAAAAATACAGCATTTTAGCACATAATTCAAAATGGCCGACAGCCAAAATGGCCGATCTGGGAAAATTGGATATCAGTCGACTCGGCATTACGCCCTGAATCTAACGAGACCACTTTTGTGATTTTTGGACGAACCGTTCAGAAGTTATGAGCAAAAATAGCCATTTTTCATATCTCCGGACCAGTAGGTGGGGCTGCGCCGAAACGCAGCATGTAGCCTCAGGTCATGCTTGTGATGACATGTACCAAGTTTGGTCTGAATACGATTAAGCGTTGCGGAGACACAGCCTTACGTCTGTTTTCGCATGCGCTACGTAAAATTAGTTTGTGCGTTTATCGAAAACGGTTTGACGAATCAACTTGAATTCCATAACTTTATGTCACCACTTCAAAATTCAAAATTGCGGCCTTTTTTTATGATGGAAAATGACGTCATAGGGTGCGATCGAATCTTGTTGATAGGCCTTACGGTTCAAAAGGTATTAGCATAATATGAGTGAAACTTTGGACAGGTGGTGGCGCTAGAGGCAATGAGTTAGAGACACCAAAATTGGTGTATTTAATGTTGGGACTGTCCTCTATCAGAATGTCAAACCAAAACAACTTTCCCGCAAATGGTTCTGTGGGCTGCCATAGACGCCCAGTCGGAAGAAGAAGGAAATGGAAGAATAATAATAAGAACCGGAACAGATACAATAGGTGCCTCCGCACCTTCAGTGCTTGGACCCTAAATATGTCATTTCTGATGACAAAATCCTTCTTTTTTTTGCATTTGTCCTCATTCAAATTTTTAAACAAAGATATGAACAGTGCTTGATAATAGACATTGGACAGAACACTTTGCTCCAGTTCAAAAAACTTTGTTAAAATCACAGACAAAACTCTCATGATTAATTAGCATTAGTTCTAGCCTAGGTTAAATGCATCTTCTCATCTGTTCACACAACAAGCATGCATTTTAATGCACAGAAGCCTCAACTCAATATCAATATCAATATCAACTCAATCCCCACAAAAAGAACAAGCATATAATCTTAACTTACTATGTAGTTTGAAATGAAGCTTTAGAATTTGATGGCTATATGGAGGCACCCTACCTAGAAAATCTGTAAGAGTATAATAAAAAGAAATGTCACATAAAATATTAAGATTTCAATCTAGGTTCATATCAGTAACATGTGGTGGTTTTGAGGCCACATACTGCATTTGTCCACATGATGCATTTCTCTTGCCTTCATTGTTAAGTAACGTGTGTTGCTCAAATGGCAGCTTCCTTTTGTCCTTTTGTTGCAATATACTGTAAAGATGTGATGACTACAAGCCCCATAATGAGGATAATTTCAATAAGTGCTATTAAAGGCCAGCAGCAGAGAATCCTTCCTAGTTGTTTAATGAACAAACCTTGTCACTGGTTGCAAAGAGTCTATACTGTGCATATCACCCATCTAAGCATAGTACTCCTGGTTAACAAACTATTGGCTGAACAGTTTTCCATCCAAAAAGTCGGAACATGAAGGTAGGTAGATGACATGATAATTTTGTAGACAGTTGCTTTAAACATCAATTGCAAAAAAGCACCATAGAAGTGGTCCATGTGGCTGGTGTACAATACTTACACAAAGCTATGATAAAAAAGACTATATAGCGCACCAGTCAAATGAACTATTTTTATGATACCTTTGAGGTGTTTTTTGAGCTTGAAATTTAAAAATAACTACTATTTTGTTGTCGTTTCATTCTGTCTAAAGCTGCTTTTTAACTGCTTATGACAAACGACAAATGATAGAAGTCATTCATTGTTCCAAACCTATAGGTCATTTGTTCTTCTGTTGTGTCCAAAACAACATTGGACACTGACTTTCATTGCATAGCCAAAACATACGATTTTTTTTAGATTACTCAATGTCTGGCTAAACACTATATATTAGTAATTTTTCAATATTGATATTTTCAGTCAACAAAACAATAACAAATTGACAGAGGTGGCAAAAGTCTGCTCAATTCAACTTCCCAAACAAAGTAATTCACTGTATCTCACTGTTCAATGGAGCAAGTCTGAACTTGCCAAAAGGAAAACCAGATTCACATTCCTCAGCTATACTTAGGCTAAATTATTAAAGTAACGGTATACCTATAGAGAACAAAGAAAATATTTTCTTTGAAAAGCCAGAATGTTTGGAGGTGATGATTCTGAGCATGATGTACCCAAAGATAAGCCTCATATGATCAGACATTTGAAGAAGATATTAGGAGGATGGACTAAATCCTTGTTTTTCAGCAGACATGCCATGACATGGTGAGCCTGCCTAAATCTGTTTGACATATTTGATTTACATATACAAGTAAAAACCTGTTAAAAGCATTGTCAAACAAGCCACATAACGACATCAAGAGGACAAGAGAATCAAACTAAAATTACAGAATTATAATTTGTACTTTTCTACATGTATTTTAAGGATAGGGCCAGTTGATTTCATCTACATCAAGTCATGTGATTCCTATTTTTTCTCTTCAGCTGGTGTTTGTGGTCTATTCAAGTTTGTGAAAATAGCGCTGCAGCTATAGTTTGGAGTAGTTACTGCTCTATAGGGGGCCGGGCACAGGGGGGCATTAGGATGACTTTATTTAAAATAAAACAAAATAAACATTAAAATAAGCTAAAATAACAACAAAACAAGATATGTCTCGTTATTTGGTTATTTTTCTAAAGGATATAGCCTACATCTTTCAAATTATGCCAAGCTCTAAATAGGGTAGAAATTGTGAGTGGGGAGGAATGGGCACTTCAAATATTGTTGTGTATTGGTGGGCCTTGAAGACAAAAAGGTTTAGATCCACTGGTCTATGGGCGTTACTATACAACACGTGGGCATATTTTACTGTATATTTGCCTCGATTAGAGACCTCATTGTTCATGGTGTGGCACTCATGTAATGTTACATTGTCTTTACTTTTAACACTAATAAGTAGCAGGCGCCTCTGTTGTCACGTTGCATTAGCCTATCTGAAACCGCTTTAATTCGATTTCACAACCGCTTCCTCAACATTGAAAAATTCACACATACAAACGAAAAAAAAAGTCACTCAATTTTCAAAAGCAGTAAGTTTTTTTTAAGCAGACATTTATAAAACAGTTGCATTGCCCCGTCGCAAACAGTATTGGATAACAAACAACAATAGTGAGACTAGGCTAAGTGGCTGAACCCATGACAACATGGGTTGTCGTTATCTTTGTATCTCTAAACTTGTTCTACGTTTCAGCTCAGCTGACTATATCTAATGAAACGCTGGTTAAATTCACGTTTAAAAACTGAACACAACTTCAAAACAGTAGCAGGGTCCATTAGTATTGCCTCACCTAACAGATAAATGAGTGCACGTCCTCCAGAAGCGCTCCATTGACTTTAAGACACTAGTGACTCTTTCTCTTCTGTGCAGTGGGCTCCAGCACTCCATGCGTTTCACTTTTCTTTCATTCACACATTACTGATTCAGCAGGGAAATCCGAATCGTTCGGGACTAATTTAAAAGTTTAACCATTTAAAAAAGTATATAAACGTTGTAATTTTATGTGTAGCAAGTTGCTAGTATGCTTAAAATATGTTCTTGAAAGAGAACGAGTGTTGCGAGAAAGCCTGGGTTCATTTTCTCCTCCCTTCCTGCCGCGCTTCCTACATGACGTCGAATGGGAAATGGGAGAGTTCTCTGCTCATCTACACCCTGGATCACAGGCCAGCTTACACACTTATTATTATTTTTTTTATTATTAAATAGTTGACTTTAGATATCATCAAGAACGAAAAAATAATATGTTACAAATTCCAGTGAGCTGCCTACTAGACAATATTTTAAATATTGATTCGAGTATTCATTCAAAACTCTACTTATAGCTATATTAGAGTATTGCACTCTTTGCTGAACAACATAAACTAAAGACCACTGCAGTTGGACTGTGTCTAATACACTGTAACCTCAATATATATATTAGTTTTGTAAATCACCCTCAAATATGGATTGTTAAACTTTTCCCACTGGCTTTTGTTTAATAAATGCCTTTCCAGATGTTCTGTTCAGCTTCAATATGACCCTATTAAAGAAAGTTGGACCTTTAAAAAAAGCTTGTGATGTCAAGTGACCAGCTGTAGGCTTCTCAGAGCCAATCACCAAGATATGAGATAAAAAGGTAATCCTTGGAATACTGGAGTCTGTTCATTTGACCAGACATTTATTTCCAGCCTGGCATTCATCTTTAGCTGCATATCCATCTCCAGTGGCCCTCAGGGAGTCATTATACTCAGTTCTCAGTCCACCTTTCCCCCACTAGCAATGCCCCTGACATGTCCAACTCAGAGGACCTTCTCCTCCAGTCTCAAACATGGCCAACCTCTACTGCTTACTTGCTTATATGTTGAGTTCTCAACAGATCCAACATTTCTAGATACTAATGGATTTACTACTTTCAAAATGCTACAGCATGTAACTGGGAAGCCACTGATTCAGACAACCCAGTGGCAAATTATTACAAAAGCGAAGACCCTCAAAAACGCTGCTCACTGATTCTTGAGATAAGGGGACAAAAGATGTTTTAGAAGTTAGTTTTTATTATTTAATAATACATTAATTATAAACTGATATGTTTGTAGACAAAAGTCTCAGCTAATGGACCATGTAAGGGAACAGGTTTTTCTGAAAAAAGTTTTTTTCTAAAATGTACATTTATTCACTTCATAACTTAATTTGTGTCAACTCCATCAGACGCATAATTTGATTCATCCAACAACATTGTAAAGTCTTCAATTCTGTAATACTGGTGTTCAGTAAAGGAGCTATAAGTGAAAAAATACATTCTCTAAAAAATATTCTTGGGTAAGTTTTAAAAAAAAATCCTCCTCGCTCATCCAAAAACAAACTCCAGCAAATTCAGTTTTCAGACACAACTGGAACTTCAAACGGCACAGGGTTCTGTGGTCAGATGAAACAAAAAATAGCTTTTTGGCAGCAAACACGCTAGATGGGTTTGGTGCACACAAGGATAAAAAGTACCCCATGCGTACAATTTAATATACCATTGGATCTTTTATGTTGTGGTCATATTTTTCTACTGAACTACATCTTGTTCAGATACATGGCATCGGGGATTCTATCAAATATCAACAGATAAAAAAATCAAAACCTGATGGCTTCTGCTAGAAATCTTATAATGGGCCGTGGTTGAATCTTCCATCAGGACAACGATCCAAACTAAACATCAAAATCAACACAAAAATTATACAGAGCACAAAATGAAGCTTCAGCCATTTCCCTGACCTGATGAGTGGAGTGAACTGAAGAGAACATGCAGCTGGGAATCTGAAGGATCTGGAGAGATTCTGTATGGAGGAATGGTCTCTGATCTCTTGACAGGTGTTCTCCAAACTCATCAGGCATTATAGGAGAAAACTCAAAGCTATTATCTTGGCAAGGAGATTGCAAAAAGTATTTAATAAAAGGGTGCCAATAATTGTAGTCAACGTGTTTTGGAGAAAAACATTTATTTCATAATGTGATTGACGTAGTTGATGCAAAATGAGACCACAACTTTGATAGGCCTTTTTTTATGGAAATTATCATTCAAGATTTACTTTTTGTATTGTTTGATATATAACAGATCTCTGCCTTTCAATTTAAATTTATATTTTTGAATTTGTTGCACTTTTAAACACTTTGTTTGGCAGTTTTAGATTGTTACCTCATGCTGAGGACAGGTTAAATTACATCTATTTCCCAAGTATAGAGCATGTATTTAAAATAATACTAACAAAATTATTTAAAATAAACGCAATAAATGTCCTGAGTATCCAGATTTCCTTTAGATGTAACATTTTAAGGATTTTTATTTTAATTAATTTATTTATTTATTTTTAACAGAGGACTTTTGTGTGTAGGACATATTTTGTCTCTTATCTCAAGAATCAGTGTGCTATCTTTAGAAAGGTGGAGAAAGACCATACATTTGACTGTAGACCCAAGCTGTGCACAGTGCATTACCCTTAAAAGGATAGTTCACCCAAAAATGAATATTTTGTCATACTTTACTTAGCATCATGATGTTCCAAAGCTAGATTTGAGATGAGATTTGTTTAAGCACGAGGCATACAAGCTTCAGAGTTTACCATATGCTCTCGATGTATGTTTATAATTCATTTAATGTAAATATTCTAATTGTAATTAGAAATGAAAATTCCACTACCTAAATTCATGAATTAAAAATACTCCGCAATTTACACAACTGTAAATGCTATAATTTTCCTTTATTAATGTAGCATAAGAATTGAACAACAGTGTGAAAAAAAATCTAATCACAGATCAGTACACTTCTATGTAAATGGTGGAAATTATTGCAATAGAACTACCAATACATTGATTTTGATTCTCGCTACAAAAATTAAAACATTCCTGTCTGGGGGTCTTATTAAGGCATGATTTTAAAGAGGGTGTCTGAACCTCAAATATTTACCGTAATTATTCAGTAAATAGCATTCAAACTCAAGTTATTCAGTTAACATCACATCCTCTAGAGAGACAAATTAAGCAAATATTACATACAACAAATAATCTATACAATTACAAAAAGTAATGAATGTGGATTCACTTGAAATTATAATTTATTTTAAGTGCATAGAGAAAGCAATCATGACCTACTTCTCTAAATAATTAGAATGCATAATGGAACCATACCCATTTAAAATGAATCAAAAACAAAAAATAATCTCATCTCTGACAGCAGAATCCTTACATGGGATGAATAGAAGGTCCTTTTCTACAGTAGATGACAAGGAAATCTAGGGCTGGTGGAGCAAACTGTATTAATTGTCTTGGACACTCTTCCCTTTCTCCCATAAATGCACTGCTTACAATTTGGACTGTAGGGGCTTCAAGTACTTGTGGTATGACTCGTGCACCTTAAGAAAAAAATGTATATGAGGTTCTTGTAATATAATTTTACAAAATAAAGTTAACTTACACAACAGAATTTGCCATTGCATTCTTCACCAGACATGATTACGATACATACACATTTCTAAAATAACATTTTTCACAGACATCCAATGCACTGTATACTCACCTCAGTATGGTTCAGAGGCGATCTCTTGGCCCACTCAAACATGTGCTCATAGACATTGCCATCGTATCGCCCCAGAACAGAATTAAGCATCTCATCGCGGTAGTCAAAGGCATCAACCAGAGCCACTGCATTGGGCCTTAGCTGAGAGAGGAGATCCTTCAGTCTCTGTGAGATCTGAGTCAGCTGAGGAACACTTAGCAGACCAGCCTGACAAAGAAGAAAAATATGATCAGGAACAGCTGTTACACCTAGAAGAGATATGCTAAACTGCTGGTCTAGGAACAGCTGTCTCCATGTCCAGTGGCATACTGCAAATCTGTGGGACAACCCTGTGAACCACAAGACAGGGCCCAACCCTGTCAGCATTGTAAACAGCATTGTATTAGACAATTAGACAAAAATGTATTTATATCTTAGAGTCATCAAAAGTTTCTGTCTGTTTTACCAGAATAGAAAGACTGTAAATGTGTTTATCTGCTTCAAATGAATGTTGTCAACTTTTTGGAGAACACTAGAATATACACACATTGTTCAATGTTAGAACAGTTGGAATGCGTGCAAACATAAAAGCACTAAAAGTCCACTGTCATTGCCCTAGTTTTAGACAAATCAATTTCAAAAGCTCACCAGTTTGTTTGTCACAATACCAGTAATAATAACAACAATAATAGTTCAAGCTTAATTAGCACGTATTTAAAAAAAGAAAAAGAAAAGAAAAGAAGAGTACAATACCAGGGGGCCTATACCATGTAGCCGGTTTAGTGTAAACTTCAAAATCTATGAAAACGTTGACGGTTTGCACATGCATATTACGTGTTTAGTCTATAGGTATGCGCGTTTGAATATATATATGTGCGTAGGCGCGTAGTCTTTCTTTACAAAGTGACATCGCCAAATTACTTGTCTGTGTCACGGGGCTGCTGCGTGAGGAAACTTCAGGAGACGAAAAGCAGGTTAACAGTCTTTAATGAAAACAAGGCAGAGCCGCAAAGGCCGATCAACAGAAATTGTCTCAAAATATTCTTTAAGAAACAGAGAAGCGCACGCAGCAGGTCTCGTGGACTGGAGAAGGGTGAGCAAAGGAGAACTGGAGAAGCGCAGATCCCTCACACCTCTTCTGGACTCAACACAGGTAACCGCTGATCTGGTAAAGTTGCAGGTGGATAACAGACAACTGGACTAGACGGGACATAACAAATAACAAGAGTTCAACAGCGGTAACGAACGTGACGGTCAACAATAATCCGACAAACTAGAGTGAAACACGAGAGACTAGAAATAGAGAGTAGCTAATGATAGAGGATAGAGAACAGGTGCGATAATGAGAGGATGAGAATCAGCTGGGGAAGATAAGTAGTAAATGAAGAGTGAGAGCGAACAAAAGGGAACAGATACAGAGAATGACCAGAAGAGGGAGACAGAGACCAATAAAACACGAGAAGGGAACCAGGATCATGACAGTCTGGCCTGCCTAATACAGAATTGTTTGTCGTTTCCATGGATCCATGCAAACTGGAATCATTTTGATAACGTTTTATCTGTACAGAGGTTAAGGGAAGGAGTCTATTTG